AAAAGAGACAACAGGGAGCTAAACTGCTATATGACAAAGTGTGCACTACTGGCCTGGTCTCAGTGTCTTCTACATTTGGGTTGGTATGTGGGACACACAGGTGAGTGTCCTTCCCATGTAATCTAGGTCATTTGGGAAGGAGAAGACAGATTGGATTTTTAATCTGCAGTGTAGTCAAGGTACAACCCCAACTTCCACTGCGTAGTCTTAGTTCCCTCTTAATTTAAGGTTTAAATTCAGTTTTTAAAATAAGAATTAAAGAAATCAGTCTCTTCTCTTGTCTTTACTTGTATTTGCAAATCCTGAGAGAGAGGAAAAAACAAAGCACCAAGAAAAGAATGATCTGCAGAAAATCACTTTTCCCTATTATTTTAAACCATATTTATTTATGCCAAACTGCATGCAATTATACATATATAGGTGTATATATATGCACATAAATATTTTATACACATTTATATGTAAATGAACACATTATTCTATGGTTCACCATTATCCTGACCGATAGGATGATCAGAACCAGATAGAGTGCAGACAGATTATATTCCTAGCTAAATGTAATAGGCCACTCTTTCTGAAATATCTGATTTTGTGTCCCAGTCTTTGTTGTTCTCCTTATTCCCAAGAACGAGGTATTGTGAGAAGGATGGACCTAAGTCAGTGCTACCAGGTGCCTGGCATGATGAGAATACATTTGTGCAAACAGATGTGTGAGGTTTTCTGGTTTAATCAGGCCTTAAGAGAAAGGTTTATACTTTAGAAATCTTTCATGCATTATCTGGTTTTAATTAGGGGCTTTAGTATCCATCAGCTTACAGGCTCAATGAAGAGGCTGTTACTAAGAAGGTACTAGATAGTACTTTTACAAATCAGAACTGAAACAAAAAAAAATATATATATACAAAAAATATAATTTAAATATTTTTAAAAATATAAATATATATATATTTTTAGCAGCTAGAGCAAATCTAGTCATGGGCAACTTGAGTCTGTCCTGACTCCTACAAATATCAGTCCTGAGGATGAAGCTGAGTGACCACAGACTGAATGTAAGACCTGATTCCCAAATTTCCTATACGCATGAAAGCTTTTCATAGCACAAAGCAAGCAATACGTGAGGAGTGGAAGGATTATTGAGCAACTCTTCTACAAATGTTTAATTTGCAGGACAACCTAGTATCCCGGTGTCTTTTACCTGAAAGACACTGAGTTTTGTCATCTTCCCTACTTTCCTGTGCCTTCCCAGCCTTCTCCAGCACATCATTCCTCAAAGAGGAAAGAAAAACATGTTCCTTCCATTGATTCTGATCAAACCATTTCTGTTGTAGACATTCCTAAAGTGTAATGGGCAACTTTACCTTTTAAACTTGCATGATGAATTCTTTCTAGTTAAGTGTGACTGCATGCACAGCTGAGTATAAACAAAATACAGTGCAACTTACCATTAAAAAAATTACTATGAATGCTATTTTCATGAAAAATAAGAGAAGTAGTCTAATGCAGGAACTGGACTGACTAAAGAGAAATCTTTTATAATATGCGTGATCTGTCATTCTAGGTGTTTTTTGCATTTGAACATAAAAACTGGCATTACATTCCCTGTTTATTTCTCTTACCAGTGAAGAGCAAAACAGGTAAAGCACAACTGCAGGAGGATTATTAGTGTTCTTTAATTTCAGGAAAATGCTCATTCAGTGTTGGAAGAAAGCGATAGATTTTTTTTCACCTTTTGTAGGAGAAAGTCTATTCTTCCAGTGCTTTTTGATCTTCGGATTCCAATTCCTTCCCCACAGTGGTTACAGACTATTCTACAGTGCATTTTTAGTCTCAGATACACTGTGAGGTTCCTTTGTAAGTTTATCTCTCACACAGCCTTTAGAAAGCACCATGCACTATTTCAGATTACTGCTTCCATGTAATTCTGTTTCTGAGTAATACTTCTGTTGAAATCAGAGACAAAAAATATAACTTTTCTGCTAAAAAGAGATCTTTTGATTTCAGTATTAGGTAGCTCAAATCTAGAAGAAAGAACTGGGCAAATATTGCTTGTATATCGTTTGATACTAACTATTGATCCTAGAAAATAGTTTCCTCTGCTGTTTCAAACAATATATTTGGGAGTGGAAGAGTCTGAATAGGGAGCAAGCTCAGTGAGCATCAGTCAGTAGGCAGCATGCTGCCATCCAGCTTCCTTCCAGGAATCCTCATCATCCAGTCAAGTACAGAAAACTCCATTTGACTCATGCAGGTCCTTGGATGGCAAACAGCAGACGACAGGTGACCCAACACAGGCCAATTCAGATGTGCTCTGCAGGCACATTGTTACTGATCCCCCTCAATATAAAAAAACCCAGCAAATAGTTTACAGAGTAGGGACCAAAATTAATTATACAGGATAACTCACTGAGCAAGCTGAAACTCCCACAGGACCTCAACTCAGCAGGACACCAATATAGGAACCATCTGGTCTGACACTGTACATTCTGGGTCAGGTTCCTGTAAATGACCATGTTTAAAGAATTTGAAGGGCCTTGCTTGATGGTGCAATGTACCCTCTCATCTTCTCGTAAATCACTAGTGCATAATTATTTGGCATGATCTTACTATCACTTCTCCTTTGTTCATTCAGTAGTGTGTAAACTGAAGTAAGACAGAGGTTTAAAAGAAAAAACCTTTAGCTGACTCACCTTTTCCAGTGCTGCTGCATGCAGCTCTCCAAACTGATGGCTGCTAATTTATTGACATTCCTCCACTGTAGTGTCCAAATGATCACAATTTTTATTAACAGGAATGAAAAGCAACTGAAACAGCTGGCCAAATGATAACTGTGGTATCTGCACATCTTTAAACAATGCTTTGTAGTAGAAGAACGGATGTCTTAAAAAATTAAAACCACAAGAGGCTACAGGATTTTAACTGAAATCTGTGACTTGTGAAGCAAAGCAACAAAGTGCTAGCACAGAATCCATTTCCTGGATAAATTGCTTGAGTCCATTTTGAATTATAGTGCTTCAATGCAGGTAATATCCTTGTAAATGTCTGTTCTTCCATCTACATCTCTGTGTCTGCAGCCCTTGTTCAGGGAATTATTAGTTCCAGTAGGAGGAAGAATGGGGCCAAATAACCTAATTAGCTTAAAATGATGCCTGAACACTTAAAATAAACCACACTTATCTGTGATAGAAAGGGACTGGACTGACAAAGGCTTAATTTCATGGAAAGTAACTACAGCCCCAAACACAAAGTAGATCGCTTCACTAGGATAACAAAGACTTATTATTGTATTATCACAGAGTATTATTATAAATACCCTTATTATTAGCACACTTCATGCATCATGATCTGACCTCAGATTGAACTGGCAGGTCCTTTATTTTACTGTCAGCAAGATAAAGCTCCAAAAAGTTCTCACAATGGCTAATTCTAAAAGCATTGTTTTATCAATATAACAGTTACATATTCAATATTTGCAAGTTGTTTTGCATATCGAAATATCTTAATTCTTGACAAGGCATCTGATGCCTGGGTAGCAGGTATATCTGTCTTCAGAAGTTCTGGCCAGGCATCAGGAAGAAGAGAAAGACACGTAAAAGCAAAAGCCCACATTCTGAAATCTCACTGGTGCCTCCTGCTTAGGCAGCACTCAAAAACATCACTTCCAGGGGCTGTTTCCCTTGGCAACTGGTGTGTGCTTCCTAAAGATATGTTGGATGAAGAGCAATTCAGTTACTGCTGCAAGCAACTGCACTGCTACCTTACTGAGCAACTGAAGGCAGGTTTCCACAATGGAGTGTGAGTGTGTGCATTAATATTTCATCAAAACCAGGCATTTTATTTCTGGCTTCCAAAAAACAAGCAGTACCATACTATGAACCAACTGGGGTAATCATGGAGACAGAGGAAAAGCACAGCAACTGTGACATGCATTACTGTGTGTGAATGCCCTTTTCTAATAAAACTGATGAAAAATACAGGACAATGATAAAGATGTATGAATAATGGATGTTTTCCAAATGTATTAACTCTGGTGAGAACACAATATAAATCAGTATTTTGTAGAATTTACAACCACGCTCAGTTAAACTTCCCAGAGCCAACCAGCATTAGTGCACTCATGCACCTGCAGAGACACACTATGCCCTCCTCCTCTTCATAGCCAGCATCCACCCAAGGCTCCTGCAGCCCAGACCACAACTATTTCTGAGCCAGACTGTGAGGAAGCTGGTGGTGTCAGCAGAGGTGGCCTGGCACTCCACACACTTCTCCCAGTGGCAGGCGTTTGGCAGCACAGGGTGCAGTCTGCATCATCCATGCTGTGAACTCAGATGTTTCTCTACCCAGAAACAGCCCCCTAAAGAAAGTGGCTATGGACATGTCCAGTTAAGCTACTCAAGCTAAGCTGCAATTTGTACTCAAGCAAATCAACAATTGAAGGATGCAATTTTACAGATATTAGCCCTTACAGCAATACACTGAATGTCCTGCTGTAGTTGGGCCTATTAAAAAAGAGGATAATTAAAAAAAAAAAAATCCCAAGAGTAAAGAAACACAGCAAAATTACCCTCTAATTTTTGTAAAATTAATTACTAGGGAGTCTATGACACTACATTTCCTGAAATCCCAAAGGAAACAGTCACACAAGGGAGGAGAACTCGCCACTGCACACTGAAGAAACAGGCATAAAAGCAAAAGTGATTTAATAGATTGTTTAACAGTTTAGGTCAAAAGAAAATCAAACCATCAACAAAAGGTGAAAAGAAAACGGGGCAGCAGCTTGGCTAATGAAAAATCCATGTGTTTCAGTGATCTCAAATGTTCTATGAAATTTTGATCCTAAAAAATATCCCAGCTCTTTTTCATGTAAATTTTCCAGTCATTTCAAACTACTTACTAGGCCATGATAACGAGTAAAATACCTGTCATTTAAAAGAAAAATATTAGTACTTCTGTATCAAAAATCACATTGCTAAAATGTTTACCTTGTTTTATTTTTGCAGGTTTTATTCTTTCCCATGCAGCTGATTTCTCTCCACAGGATATCGACCTTTGTTACTTGCTGACAACATGTCTGGCAAATAGCTTTCTGCTGTGGTTGCTGAGGTTAAGCCATCTGTTTTTTCTCTAGAGAGCCATGTCTTATTCATAATGGCATTTTTGTGTTTCATTCCCTGGGGAATAGCACCTGCAGGCTGATTTCCTATTTGACCCCAAAATACATCATCATATTTCGACAACCAATCCCTCCCCTTCGTGGCCCAGGACACCACAGCACGCTCTGGGGGCACTGCAGCATCTTTCATCCCTGACAGCACAGGCCAAGGGGCTTCCTCGTGGGTCATGGGCAGGTGGGGACCAGCCCACGGGTTTGAGCTGGAGGGGACAACTGAAGGTATCTGAGGAGGAAAGAACAAAAACTGTAACCTTGGATGTCCCAGTGTGTTGGTGTAAGTTTTTATGGAAACAGGATGCTTGATGCATTGTGGCTGATTTCAGCCATAGTCTCCCATATAATTGTACAAGAGGCCCGTGTACTACTTGCATTGGGATTTAATTAAAGCTCATATGATTTATATAAAAAAATAATCTCTGAGTTCACAAAGATCAATCAAAGAGCTACTTGCATTCTGCTCTTTGTAATACTTTTCTCTTATGGCCATATTTTCACTGGTCTTTTTAATGTGTGAGTGTGAGAGAGAAAAGGACCAGGAGACTTGATTTGAGCTGTTACATATATGCCCTGGACTAAATAACATGTTATCAGAATTCTGAGTCACTATTTCATTGCATAATAAATTCTTAACAAAGAGAAAATCTCAGTATCTTGCATGTTCTTTTCATTAATACCAGAAGTAAAAACTATGCTTTTAATTGTTTCATTGCATTTATTTTAATCCAAGTTTATAAAGGAAATTCACTAGAGTAATATTTTTAACTACTCTACCTAACTGGCTCCAGTAATTGCATATTTGAATTTTGTTTCCATACAAGGAGGAAGCGGTTATGCTGTCTCAGAGAGGCTGAAATCTCTTGCATGTTTAGTTTAGCAGCAGACTGTCACAAATGCAATTGCAATTGATCAGCTCTGTTCTTAACAGGATTCCTGCAGTTAATGGAAATTACTATAAAGAGCTTCAGGGCATAGGAATAATTGGATCACTAAAAAAAAAAAAAAAAAAAGAATTGGAAGGGGAAAAAAGGTAGGACAAGATCAACATAACAACTTTTTTTAAAACATCAAATAATTTGCAGAGATTATCTTACCATAGAGCACACCAAGATGAAAACCTAATCTTTAAATTATTTTTACAAGCCCCTCTTAAACAATGGGAAAGAAAACACATAATGAAAAAAAATTAAACATTTATTATTGTCAGCTTGTCTAAACTAACAATCAACTGTGCATCTCTGGAAGGAATCATTCAAACATCTGTATCTTCTGCCAAGAATGAGATTCCACTAAACTAAAAACAGTGAGGAAACTTTTACTGACCTGGCAATTTTTGCAATGGTTTTCTCCTAGTTCTTGTTGCGAGGCTATGATCCTCTCTGGGCTTGTTACTCCAATAGAAGAACCAGCACACACGTTTGGGGTGATGGGAGAACTGTGGGGGCCATCCATCCCTGGCTGAGAGCTTGCAGATATTGACCCAGTCATCCCTGTAGCACGTTCCACATGATCCTCTGGCTGTCTATTACCCTGTGAAACATCTGTGGAGGAAGGCAGTATCTGCAACAGAAAATAGCATTTTAAGAAACTCAAGAAAGATTAAGTTTTCCAATGCTGCTCATTTTGGATTAGTGGAAGCCATTTGGATGAGTTCACTAAAAGAAATATTCACAGAAATTAACTAAAAAACTACATTCAGCAAAATAAGGGAAAAGATAACATACCAATTATTTCAGATGTGGAGCATTCCTGCACCTTTCTAAATAAAGAATCCTGTATTCAACAAGTCATCCTCATAACAAAACAAAAAAGATCTCTAAGCTTTAAATGAAGCTGAAAATTTGCCTTGGGATACTAAGAAAACCAAGACTAAAACTAGAAAGAAATTCCTAATTAAAAAAAAAAATCTCAGTTCTCTTGAAGAATCTCAAAATTTCTTACAGGATTCTTTTACACACATATTTTCTCACTCCACACTATACAACTAATTCAGGTTTGTCTACCTTTGAATGCTCAAGAAAGTTAAGCTGAACAGACTCCAAAAGTGTGTTAGTTCAAATGCATGAACTCTTATGCAGACCCTCCTACTAAAAACAAAAATAATATTCAGTTGATGTTATTTCACCTCCAAATCAACTTTAACACTACAGCAAACTATCCTTTTAGAATATCTTCACTGAGCTGCAGACAAATGTAAGAGAGGAATGGCAGTTTAATTATGCACATTTTCATAACAGTTGCAAGCAGAAGTAGATCTCCCTGCATAAAAATGACTACTACACAGCAGTAGCATTTTATCATTCAAATCCAAATTTATTATAGCTACCAGACCACTGTTGCATTTTTTCTTGTGATTGCAAGCCTTGCCATTTCAGCCTTTCAGATTTTGAAGAGATATTTATTTATTTCTAAAATTAATACACCTCATTATGCATTAACATCTTATTCCCATTAGTCCTCTTGCAAAAGCTCCAGAAATGCAGATACATATATATGCCAGTTCAGGAAGAATTACTTAAAAGAAAACACCTTTCACTTAAAATAATACATTGTTTTCACTCTATGCACGTTTCTTGAGTTTTAGGTACCTCACTTGTGTCCATTAAAAAAAAGAAAAAGGACTCTGAAATGCAATAGCAGTGTAAGATTGCTCTGAAATGACCCAACAGAAAGATGAGCATTTATTGACAAGCTCCTGCATCTAAATATGGTTCTATTATGGCACGAAGAAGAACACATTGCATTTCTGTTGTTACCATTTCACCTCCTATTCTTGGCTCCCCACCATGAGCAGAGGGAATCAGTTCTGATGAATTGTGGCCATTGGTCCCCTTAAAGTACTCAACACAAGCATGTGTGGCCAGCTGAGACACTGCCCAGGAGCAGCTACCACCTGGATCCTTTATTTGAGGCTGAACAACAGGCCAGGGAACAAGGCAGGAATGGAAGAACCACTCATACTGGTCAGTTTGGGGCACAGAAATTAGACTGCTGCTCTTCCCTAAAAGATTTGCTTTCTCTATGCTGATTACAGAGAGGGCCTGTGATACAAACTGGATATTGCATTTATTTAGGCAAAGTGGCATGAAAACCTAAACATATCCTAGTGTTGCACGCATAGATCAGTTGGAAAGTGAAAGCTATACATTTGGATCCTCCCCTCTAAAAACAGGAGCCCAAGGCAGCTCCAGAAGTCCTTGGTTTCTAACCAAGGTTACAAGTGCAGGATCTCTCCCCATCACTCACAAAAAATGCCAGCTGGCTTAAAGCTATAAAAGATCAGCCCTGAAATGTTTTGAGGCATGAAGATATCAGATCTAAAGTTATTTGATGAGAATTTCCTCACTACAGGAAGCACAGTTAGAGGCATTTGTGGTGATAGATGAGAGTGAGCAGAAGCAGAACAAGTTCTGGAGGTCAATGACCCATGCAAAGGCAAATTACTGTCCTGCTCATAGGCAGGGGAGCTGGTAAAGCTGCCAGAAAAAAACACATCACCAAATCAAAGCTGTGACACTGTCAAAAGTAATTTCTAGAAAAATATCCTCCTTGCAGGGTCATTCCTTCAACTCTTTACCCCACAAACCCTTTTGCCTCTTGGAATTAGCAAATCCTTCTGCAGCCCAAGTAGTGGCACTCAGCAAAAAGCAGAGTTAATGCAAGCCCCAGTGAGTGAAGATGCTACTACCCTGACAAAGATTTCACAGTGTAGTCTGCACTGTATTTGAAAGTTGGTATTATTCTCTCAAAAGACTCATCTCTGGTGTGTTTTTGATGTAAGACTAGCACTAAAAATTGCATTTCCTATGGCACTAAGGATGCAGCTAAGCAAAAATTCTGTGTTTTGTCTCAATGCTCAGACATTCAGACTTGTTCTTTTCCAGGTTGGTTCTTTTTTATTATTATTATTTTTACTATAGTTATTCTATTCTCCTATTATTTTTTTGCTTTCATCTCAATTTCCACAAATTACCCCACCTAGAGAGAAATGAAAATATTGTGATATTTGACCAAATTGAAAAGAGTGTAAACTTGCATAATGCCAATATCTAGAAAGGAACACTATTGAAACCAAAAAAATCAGCTTTTTTTTTTAAAAAAAAGACAGTGGTGTCAGAGAGAAGATGAAAATGTTTTAATTTATCTGCATACTTTTAATTCTACATTTTATGCTTATCTAAATTCTATCATTTATCAGAAAATAAAGGAAGGTTAGTTTTTAAAGATTTTTTTTTTTTAGTCATGGCTACTCCTGTACTGGCATGTGCTGCTCAGAAATGCATGCTGCTGCAAATGAATTGCAGCAAAAACCACTGCTAAAATATCTGTATTATGCAGTCAGAAAATAGATCTAAATCTTGTCAACTAAACCAAATTTTACTTTCAAAGGGCACTAACCTTGAGTAAGAACCTTCTCCTCAGCCACTAGAAATTCTTGGGATCCCCTCTATCCAAACAACCACTTACATAATTATTGAACAGCTTTATCAGTTATTTCACTGGAAAGGCCAGGCTGCCACTAACTTTTTAAGATCTGTATTTCATGCCACTCAGTATTTTTAATATTTTCTCTAAAAGTCAAAAATAACATATCTCTCAGCAACAGACTTTACCCTTCTTTAAAGAAATTACTAAATAATTAATTCCACTCCTTCATCCACTTGGAATTCCAATGATTCAAGGCATGTTTTCGTAATGTCAGGTAAAAAAAAGCTCTTCCCACAAAAAAAACCTTTGTCTTGAAAGATTCCTTGCTCTTGATCAGCTTTGTCCCAAAAAGACTGGAAGTCCAAAGTTAAATTCTTTCTCCCTTCTGAGGGTGGGAATCATCCAACCAAAGTGTATCTCCCCCTGGCCCCCTTGAAAACCACTGGAGTCCAACTTCTGTGGCTCTTCCCACCTTATCACAGAATCCCAGGATGGCTCAGGCTGGAAGGGAGCACAGTTGATCATCTGCTCCACCCTCCCTGCTCAAGCAGGGCCATCCCAGAGCACATGGCACAGGATTGTGTCCATGGGGTTCTTGAAGATCTTCATTGAGGGAGACTCCACAGCCTCTCTGGGCAGCCTGTCAGTGCTCAGTCATCTGCACTTAACTAAAGCACGTACATAAAATGGGCAGGATAATTCCTTGGAAGTATGTTTTTCTCTGCTTTAACTGTGAAAATAAATAGATAAACTACCACAGGTGACTGTCAGAAGTAAAGATATCATACAGGAAATGTATCTTACCCTCAGTGCCAGAAAAGCCTCTGACCTTAACAGCCATGCACAAACCATTTTATGGAAATGGTCATCAGAGAATTTTATTTCAGGGCTATTATCTTCAAATATGATTCACTGGAAAGCAGTAAGCTATTTCTTGCAAAATAATGAGTAGAAATACTAACTAATAAACAAACAAAAAGCATTGCTCTACCAAAACATATCTCAGAAGAAATCTCTTGAAAGAAAGAAGAATTAAGCTATGCTGTTCTGCACATTTAATCCCTCTTCTGTAAAACAATTCACTGCACTGGACACAATCCTTGCCTGGAGCTTTCCATCCATAAGGTTTAGGATGACTGGAGGAAAAACATTAAAAAGCACTGCCATTTATCCCTACATTCCTTGAACAAATTCCCTTTCAGCCCTAAGAAATGAGGGCAAACAGCCACAATGGTTTCAGATCCACTATGGAAAGAATATATAAAATATATCATCAGGTCAAAGTGTTCCAGCACAAGAGAAATTGGATCAGCAGCATTTTCCATTACAGACATCCAGCCAGAGGCTGTTGGCTCAGTCATTTGAGGAGAATTAAATGTAAACCTTTTTCTCCACACCTAGCCCAAAAGAGAGAGAAAAGGCCCAAAATACTGCACAACTGTACTGGCTGGGCTGAGTCCATATGAAAGGGGAGCCAAGCTCACTTGCTCCTCTGTGTGGTTCTCTGACCCATCAAAAGCAGCAAGGACACTACCTCAAGTTCAAGCCAGCCAGACTGGGTAAAGCATGTCCCATTTCTCATCTGGAGCATCTTCTCTTGCTTCCTACTTTTACCATCCTGAGTAAAGCAGCTGTTGCAAAGCCAACTCCCAGCCCTTTTTTCTTAGATGTTTTGTGAACATGAACGCCCAAGATTAGTTGATGAATGCTGTTCTGTGTTTTTTTTTTCACTGGGAAAGGCAGAAAAACAATAATTGTTAATAATGTCCATGAATTAACTCTGCAAAAGAAAAAAAAAAGAAAGATGAGGTCAAGGTCCTTTCAATTAAAAAAATAAATCAGATCAGCATTCAAAAGGAGGTGATTAAAATGGGACACGACAAAAGGCCAAATGTGGACACATACTCTGTGTGTGACATTGGGCACTTGAATCCCAGCTATGGCACTGTGCCGAGTGCCACGTGTACCTGCTGGAGGCAGCCCTTGTCCCAGGAATGTGTCCTCTTCAGCCACATGCTTTTTATTTTCCAGACACAAAACAAGACAAGGTTTTAAAATATTTCTAATGACAAAATTTATTATCGCTCCACTCCAAGGGGCTGCAACGGTTTCTCAAGTCTTTTAAAAAGAGAATATATCACAAAGCCTTAAATATTAACTTTGTGCTTCCAAAAATTTCAAGTCCATATTATACATACATTGTCATTCCAATGCCTGCCCAAAAAAAAGGTTTTTTTCAAAGCTGAGAGGCAGCATTTATTCAGCATCCTGCACAGAATTTTTGCTTTCACCACAGTTACATAGGTGGTAGATGAAAAAGAATTGAAATAAAACCCCTTCTATACAATCATGTATGTTTATTATGATAAAAAGCCACTAAAATTAAATTATACTAAATTGCTCAATTAAACTAGATTACAAATAAGGAGCTTCATGGTTACAGTTTTATCATGAGGAAAAGTAATTCAAAACCTAGTCTCTTTACAGGGACTTATTAAGAGAAGGAAAACTGGCTTTCTTTTATGAACATATTATTCTAGCATATATCTGACCTCACTGAGAGTGCACTGCTGGAACAAAATTGAGAGATACTACATGATTCAAGCAAATTTTATTTCTCACTCACAAACATTTGAATATAATGCTGGGCTGTGAAAATAATTAAGAATGACAAGCCTCAAAATGCATTCTGCTCTGCTGAACTGAACTGAGGGAAGTCTTGAGTTAGTCAGCAAAATAAAGCCATAGGAACAACAGGGATTTATCATGTCTGAGAGCAGAGCCTTGAACACTGAAAGTGAAGTCAAGAGAAGCTCCAAAGACAGTGCGTTTTTCATAACACCATCTTCGTGGTTTAGTATTTTAACTGAGATGAAAATTAGGGAGAAAATACTTCTGGCAAACAGAAGGAAATGACCAACCATCCACTGCATCCTGAATAAGCAAAGAACTGAAGTTTGCCTTGCTCTGTAAGCACGAGTAGCTTGGTGGTGCCCATAAGTCCCTCACTGAATCTGGGGCATCCCAGCACCCAGCTGCAGCAGCTCTATCCTCTCCACATGTAATTACATGTACAGTTGAAAAAGAAAGAAAGAAAAAAGAGTTCTTAATGGTTCTATGAACCAATTTTTCTATGAAAACATGACTCAAAGTTTTTTATTGAACTACAAAAGGCCAGGAAATGAATTGAGTACAGAGTCCCCTTTCCTTTCAAAAGGCTCTGGATCAGCTCTTCATGCATCACTGCAAACTTTGAGCTGAAATTTATCAGTAAATCAAGGCACAGAGCTTTGCTGCCAATGTGCGACAGGTTTCCATTTGTTACTGGGTCCAGTAATGAATAAAGCCAATTGCTAAACTTTAATTTAAGAACACAAATAAAAGCAAAAACAAAAAAAAAAAAAAAAAAAAAAAAAAAAAAAAAAAAAAAAAAAAAAAAAAAAAAAACCCCACCAAAAAAAAAAACCAAAAACCAAAAACAAACAAACAACAAAAAAAACCCCAAACAAAAAAAACCCCAAAACCAACCAACCAAACAAAACAAAACAAAAAAAACCCAAACAAAGCACAAAAGTCCAAAATAAAACAAAAAAAACCCAATTCAGCAGGTTTTGTATAGTGGAATTCAAATGTGAGGAATGCTGTACGTGTAAAAAACTGAGGGGAAGGAAGGAATGAGCTTCCAAAGGAATTTTATGTAAGTTAATGTTGGGCACAGCTCTGGAATCTTAGATGTAAAGTCCAGTGAGAATAAGAGTTGAAAGCAAGAAATAAAACTTCTGAGATGAAAAGTCAGTTCACTTCAACATATGTCTACAGAATTCAGTACAAGATCTTTTAAACCAAAGGAATGCATCACATGAATATGAAACAGCCTCTCTCCTTCTTTTCCCTTTTTTAAATTGTAACCATTATTAAATTAGTAGCAGGGAAACTTGGACATTCTTTCATTGAAGTGTCTTCGATTTGAAACCTGATGCATAGAAATACACATTTTTCATGGGAACATGCAACTCTCCTGTGATAGGAAAGTTTCCCCCTACTTATCACAGACCAGGAGAGCCTTAAACTCAGTGTCAAGACACCTAGCAAGAGCCAGTCTGTTCTTTGCATGATAAAATACCCCAGGCTTGAATCCTATTTGTGCCTGAGACTAAGTGAGATGAGACCTCTGGCCACTACAGTGCTAGACACCATGGGAAGGGGCTTGTGCTCCACTTAGTAAGAACAGCAAAATATCTATCAAAGCAGGGGATTTAATGTGGGGCTCTGCGATGCAAATAATCAGAATATATATTTAATTTAATTCTCTCTTGTTGAACCTGCTAAGTTTTGTGATAATTGAACGTTTAGGGAGATAGAGTGAGCGTGAACAGTATTTTGATATTTATTGTTTTAGCAAGCTTTACTAATGCTCATCTATCACAGCAGTGTCTGAGAAAAAGTCTGAAGGCGGTGGAGTGCTATCTCCCTTCTGACAGAGGAGTTCCCAGCCACTGTCACAGAAAACACTCCTGTGCAGTGGGAGCTTGGATCCACACATGAGGTACTCCAAGGAGACACAGCCAGACACAGTCCTGTCCCATCCTGCAACCAGGAATCAATTCACCTTTGCCTTAACATGCAGTTAAATTGCTTTTTAGCACAAAAACAAGCACGACTGAGTGATAGCTTGCAACACTTAGTAACACTGTAAGGATAAGCACTATCAACAGGATACAGAATACCACTCAGTGTGTAAAAATGCAAAACCATCAGAAAAATAAGCCTGTGGATTTACTATACTATATGCCCATTTTGAGAATCTTCTGCTGGTGAAAATGTCAAGTGTCATTAAGATAAATTATTTTATGTATTCATTTTGCAGTGGATTGTGTTAGCTGAAGTACAATATTTGGTAAGAACAATATTCTGTGTTCTGTTGTGAAAAGGACACAATATTATACAAATGTGTAATACACAGTATTTCGCCCCCTACCCCACTTTTAACCAAAAAGATTCTACCTGAATATACTTGACACAAACAGTACCAAATATTTTTTGGGTACTTTCACAGGCTTTTAAAAAATACCAAGAAACAGAAAATCAAAAGGAAAAAGAACTTGTTGATGGACACTGAGGTACTGCAAGGGAAATTCCATTTCTTCAGGTTGCCAGATTGAGATTCCTATCCTTAATAATGTGTTCAAGTAGGTACTGCTCCAAAATTAGGAAATTTATTCCCAGCATCCAAGATATTAATGACAATATTGAATAGAACCAGGTGTGAAACAGGCTGCTTCCCACTTTTACCTTGCCCAAGAAACGCAAGTGACTAACTCCCTTTTGAATACAAATGTCCACCGAGTTGACTTAAGTCTTAAAATATTCACTGTTGACCTTTTTTGTCCTGACTTCTTCAGAAATCTCAAACAATGCATTACGCAGGAAAGAAATGCAAAATTCATACTTAAAATGAAACTGGGTAATATGTGCTGCATTATCCATCAGATACTTAGTCAAAATATCAGTGTTTCTTGAATGGAACAATTATACACTTTGCTTTAAGCTCCTGAAATTTAGACCCTGCCTACAACAGCAGTAAAATGGTCAATTCCACTGATTTGTCTGAAGCAATACTTATACTAAGCATTGAAATACATTTTATAATTACACATTAAGTCTCACTAAACACTTTGGAAACCATCACTTAATTCAATAGGGTAAACATGAGGATACATGTTTACAAGGAAGTATGAGCACTTACCTCTTGATCACACATTGGTGTAAAAGCAACCGTGTACTCTGCCAGGGTCATATCATTCACCAAATTCTTCATCTCTTCATCAAATGCAGAGTTAATAAATCCTTGCTTGTGGAATTCATCATGCATTCTTCTAATGAAGCTGTTCCTTTCCTGGCACTTTTGGGTGAGGCAAGCCAGCTTAGCCTGTGTGGCATGAACACATAAACATTCCATGGTTCTGTCATTTCACTCCCTGCTGAGACTGCAAGATTACCTTTTGTGTCTGATCTGTAATTCCACATGTTTTGACCCAAAGCTATAGATTGCATTCCTATGTCTTTACATTATTAGATGCCTCCACACCTTCAAGAGCAATAAATATGCACAGATAAACTGAAAAGAGATGTTCCCTTTCCATGTGCAAGGTCCCCCTTTTGACAGGCTGAAATTAACTTTGCAGTACTGTCAGTGAGCCCTTGCCTAAGGCGAAGCCCAGCAGCATCCAGCTACTCAAGGACAGCTGCAGAGGAAGGCACACACACAGCAGCCTGTAAGCAAGGGGATACCCCTTGTGTAGGTCCTGAATCAGTGCTCAGGGAAACACAGTACCTTCAGAGGAGCTAATGTCAACTTCACTTCAGACTTTCTCTTCTGCAGTTCTTTCTCCTGAAAGGTTGAAAAATATCCTTCATCAATTTATTCAACAATCACTTTGAAATACTCTAGCAGTTTGTTGGTATTTGTTTTAGACCTGACTCTGAGGTGTGCACTTTGCATATCTGTGTGACCCTGCATCACAAAGAAGATGAATCAGTGTAAGGCATTGATTTCACACAAATAGGCTCTGGCATACAAACACTGCCCTATTCACATTAGCATTAGTCTTAAAAATTAACAAAGGCTTTTGGATGTTCTTAGATGAAGCCTAGGATCAGTGAGGTTATTTAATCAAAGCAGCATCCCAGTAAAGACTTAGTATCCTTCATTATGCACTCATGTTCGTATTTACTCTGTGAATTTTTCAAAACATTATTTGTGGGAAAATTTTCAGTATTATATTGTAAAATAAGAGAAAAGAGAAGGGATTTTCCACATGTATATTCCACTCTGAAAAGTGAACATAACCTTTTACTCTGACACAGCTGATACATGTTGTCTATCAGGAGGTGAAGCAGGGCGGGCAAGATTACTTAGTCTGTTCCTTATGATTAAAATCTACTGATGGTAACCCTCCTTTCTGATTATATTTATATTTATATATTTATTGCCACATAAAATCCATTGCCATTATGAATCAATACATTATTTTTGACAATACAGTACCGATTCCTTTGCATTTATTTTGCCTGACAATTTACATTTCCATAAAGTTTACAGTAAATATATTATATTCAAAATTAAAACCCCCTTCTTTATGAGAACTCAATTATGCTGAAAAAGGTCACATGCTCCTCAGCTAATAAACTGTGGGCTTGGGAGGAATCAGAGCAGGCAGGATGGGGAAAAATGTCTTTACATTGCACAAGCACTGAGGAAACAAAGAAAGATCTGGCAGTGTCCCCTGCACTGGAGACACTCAATTCTTGAGGCAGGGAGCAACAAATCTTGCTGATGCAATAGGACAATTAGGATTTGTCCATTTATATGGACAGCACGTCTCACCCTTTGCTCATCTACCATCTGATAAGACACCAGACACTACAAGACAGTTTCATTTTAGCAGCACTGTTCTTCTGAGGCATCCCCTAACCCTGCCTGTGAGAAGCCACTAACCCTCTTTACAGGACTGGTTTAGAGCAAACCACAGCACCTGATGAGGCTAGGAAAAAAACCAACAAAACAACCACCACCACCACACAAACAAACCAACAACAAAACAGAAACCAAAACTAGAAAGAGTAGTTTACTGTGGAGAAAGTAAAATGAAAGTTGTTCCCAATAGGAAGAAGACAATAATCTCTTGTATTTCAGAGTATGGACAGAGGAGAAACATGCACTGCTCGTTGTATTGGGCTATGAAGAACAAAGAGCACTATTGAGAACATGCCATTTTCTAGCTGTTTCAGAGCCTAATGGGCAATTCCAATTTGGCTCACATTGTAACTATCATCCCGTTCCAAAATATAGTTCCCAACAGGAAAAAAAATCTAAGGGAAAGAAGTCCTAGGAGGAATTTGTTTCCACCCAGGAGTTCAGTAGCTGTAGTACACTTACAGCACCAGCTTTGCTGTCACACTGTAAGGCAGCAGCTTTGCCAATCTTAATGTACCTGCTCTGGTTTGCCAGGTGAAGTAAAATGAACAAGTGTAAAAACTGCTTGTGTAAGTACATTTGTGCATACATGACGGTTCTCATCAGAATAACGATGACAAAAATCCAAACTGCACATCTATCTGAAAATGTCTTACTGAAACTCTTAATGTGTAACCCTAGCAGATGAGCCAAAAAAGTTAGGAAAGCCCTATCAAAATTCTATTATTATCTTGGAGTTTCATATCTGATCTAGTGAAACAAGAGAGTTGGGAATGTTAAAAAATCCTGACAATTTAAGGCAAGGAAGTGGCTCTGTAAAGAATTTCAGCATGATTGCACTTGCATTACACTATGGGGATCAGTGAGAACAGAGACTGAACTATCGTGATTATTTATCATTTTCAGTAACATTGATCACTCAGGCAATTTACATCTTTTCCCCATTTCCCCTAAGTCAGAAGTACTTTTATATTTACATTCAACTATCCTCAGATTCATTCCCAGGAAAGAATCCTACTTTGCTTCTCCCCTTTGGAAAGAGAGATGTCGAATCTGAAGCCTAAGCTCACATTTAGGCACACAGAAAACAACTTTATACCTTTTCACATAGCTGAGCCTGAAGGAGTTCCACTTCATTCTGCAAGTGATTTTGTAATGCAGCCTGGTCCCTGAGCTGGGCTTTCAAGGTCAACATTTGCTGCTCTAATCTCTTACTGGCTATTTTATTCACCTCTTTTTCCTGGGCATCCTCCAATGTGTACACAGGCTAGAGAGAAAATACACAGATTTTCAATTTAGGTGTATAAAACAACAAAAACATTCTTAATCATGACTTAAATCACAAAACTTTTCAATCAATATAACTACCTACCTTGTACAGCAAAACGAAGCAAGCTGGGATACATACATTAAAAATGTATGATCCCAAAACTTCATGAACATATTAGCACTAATATTTTGCACTTATCTTAAAGTCTTTATATGTAAAGAGTACTTGACTCCTGTGACAACAGGTATAGAATTGGATTTTCACAACATTTCTTCAAGGTAAATATATGTATTGTAATGATTTAATAAATGAGGAAACTGGGCAAAGACAGATAAAGTGACCAACCTGTGATCACATAGTGAGTAAGAAAAACACACAGAAGTTCCCAGTCTCCTGCTTCAACAAGAAACTATATAATATGCCCCTTGTTTTTCTACAGATATTTATCTCAGAGAGATAATTCCACTCTCCCAAATATTTATTTGTTCTAGAACATTATTAATAAACTAACCAGATCTCAAGTAAAAATTTCAAAAAAATATATTCTTTACATTTAAATGTAATAATAGTGATACAGAACAAGTGGAAAGAGAAGCTTCTGAATTTAACTCCTCCTCCCTCACTGTCCAATTTCTTTTCTCCCCAATTTCATGCACTTAGACTGAAAGGATTAGTGCGAGCTTTAGATTGATGGTCAGCATCATAAGGTCAGCTCCTACAAGTGACATTGCCTGATTAAACGTATAGATTTAGAATGAGGAAAATCTGAAGGAGAAAGAAATATCCTGAAAAACACTTATGCTATTATATTAGAACAAAATTGAGTTGACACACACAGCTGGTAAGATTTCTGATAATGTAAGTATCAGTATATAAGCAAGTCTAAAAGATTAAGCTAAAAATTATAGTCAGACCCATGATACACTGTGGTAAAACCATATAAATTTCTGACAAAACAGAACTATGGTTTAATTTTAATGGTTACAAACATTGATACAACTGAGAAAGAAGCTTATACTCAGCCTTGATGCACAGCACCACAGTAAATTTTTCCCAGCCTTTCTGACAGCCTTTCTGGCTTTGATGCCCTTGACTACAACACACTGAAGGCATCATTTCATAAGGAACAGCAAACTGAACTGATAGATCACGTTACTGTGCCTGCAACACATCACTGCAACACAGAAGAAAGCAGAAATGTGGCACTGTCATAGTGTTCTTCCTTGTGAAGCAAGCCCTCTGTGTGCAGCACTGGAGCAGGTCAAATGCTTTGTACCAAACTTTTTGGCTCCCTCTTGTGTCAAGAGAACAATAGGAACAGCTGGACACATCCAAATGGATTAGACCAGGGCTGCAGGGACAGAAGCCTGAGTATGAGTCTATGACATGATATTTCCCTCATCTTCTCTTCCACATGAAAAGTATGCTAAAACCAAAAGGGAAACACTCTCGAACTGAAGATACTTTATGGAAAAAAAACGGTGGGGAAATAAAACAACTGCATAAAGGTTAGAGACAGAGAAAATTTCCCTCTTTCCTTCTGCATTTGGCTGACCCACTAGCAGTTTTCTGCAGTTTCAATGCACAAATGAGGCATACAAGATTTATACATGAGCACTCTATCAGATGTCCCAGCTTGCAGTGACCACAAGTTATGTAGTCAAGCTCCAGAAGGATGAAGGACCCAGGCAGCTGGGGACTGGAAAATAACCAAAGGATAACCAAGCCTAAACATAGCATTTAACACACTGCATTCTTGTAAAACTAGATCACTAGTCTTTGAAGTTGGTACCTAAACCTTATAAATAAAACCAATATCTTCCTCTTCTCGTGTGAATTGTTCTTGTCTGAAAACTCAGTGAGAAAATGAGAAAGAATATGACCTTTTTTTGCTACAGGCCTTTCTTGCAGACAGTCATCAGGAGTTCACTGGGAAAGCCTGGTGCCTTATTTAATGTGTGCATTTAATGCAACATTCTTCTATTAATTTCTAAAGCTGTAAACAGCATTTTTTTTACCCTGCCCCCTTCCTGCTCACCCCCATATTTCTCTTAAATTCAACCACAACACCACTGCTCAGAAGGCCACCTCAACATCCCCGAAAACTCACCCAAATACTCCTAGGCCAAAGCATATTTCACCTGCTAGCAACTTCACTGAAATAGTCCTAACAGTAAGCTTTAAATACATTATCTTAACTCTCTTTTACTTGCAACGAATAATATCATGACAGCCTTATGGAGTCTGAGGTGACAACTAGGACCCCTGGGGAGCAGAGCCTGTAGAACATAAGAAATGCAGAAGGTTCTAAAAGACACACCCAAAATACAGCATATTTCATATGCTTCGGGTTATAGGTCCAGAGTGCTCACATCTTCACTTCTTTCAAGCATTGCAGCAAGAGGTGCTCCAGAAAAATGAAGTTTAGAACAGGAAAAAGTATAAATTACTGTGATTTACTGTATAAGGGTTTATTAGTAACTTTGAATAATGAAAAAGAGTTTCGTCAAACGTGGCAAGTAACTGAAAACAAAAACTGGATGATCAATCAACAAAACTGCCCCCAGGAAGTAACATGATGCTAGAAAAGTAGATAATGACCTTTTTTTTTTTTTGTGGCAAAGAGTCTTTTTTTTAAATCTAGGACAACTTATCTCATATTTTAAGGCCTCACACAAACCCACTATCAACAGCTTGTTGTATATTAAAAAGTTTATTTTAGAAGTGAGTTTTTGAAAAGTTGACCTTTGTTAAGATATATCTACTCCACAATATATACTGTACTACTTGCTAAAGTGTGCCATTAAAATCAATATCATTTGGTTAAAATATAATGAACTTGAGTTTTGCAGATAATTAGTTCTGCCATCAAATAGTGCAACTGAAAGATAAACCCAGTTCTGTGACGTACATGGATTCCATCTTTGACTCTGGAATGAGACACCTGTATTCAAAAACTTGACACTAAGCCTATAAGTTATTCAGATGGATGAAGTCAGATCTAAATCAAATAGCATCACAGTATTGCATAAATATATACTACTGATGGATAAACATTAATTTGAAAACATAAGCTGATGGAGGGATTTAAAAGTGGCAAGGTTTTTCAGCAAAAGGCTGACCTGCACTTTTTCTACTGTAAAAACATTCTGTCAAGGTCAATGAATTTTATTCCCCTGTGAGTCATAGGAATAATTAACATCTTACTTCATTGACCAACATAATAAACAATAATTGCCCTAGACTGTCCCTAAACAAAAGATTAAAGCTCCATTTCCCAAAAATGCACCCAAAATCTTAACTGCTAGCTTAAAACATGCGACATATTTCTTTTTATCTTCAAACAATTTAGGAGTTTCTTCTTGCTTGAAATAGATTTTATTGTATTAGCACGCTGCATGCCAACACATAAAAATAATTTGAAAAATTTGTACTTCTTTTTCATTTAACGGTCAGAATTCAGCTGTCTAAACACCAGCCCATGGTGCCATGTAGGGTGTACAAGCTAACATGAAATAACAGCCTAGGACTTCCAGGTGGCTACCTACACCCTCAGCAAAGATGCCCTAAAGCCTTTAACTGGGATGAACAGCGACATTTAGGCAACTGAACTGATCTCAGAATCCTTATATTTTCCAGAATCTATTTCTATTTTCCTCTAAAGCCATATCTATCCAACCTGTTCAAAATTAATCTGCAAATATTTGTAGATTGCTACAAATGTGCTTTTTCAGATGGTAGAACCTGCATATTTCTTTGCAGCTCACCAGTTATGGAGGGCAAAAATAATTTCAGAGTTAGCTGACAAATCTTTATAAAAGCTGCTTCCAGAAGATTATTCAGTAATTAAAAATCTTTTCATAAACTATTTTATTTTGGTGGAAAACATAAACCTGTATCAAGACAGAGAACCACCTGAAAATTTAAAAAGGTTAATTTACAGGAAAATCAGAATCTCTGTGTTGTAAACACATTCCAGTGAGATAGAAAGATTTCCTGGATTTTGGGGACACATATTTGGGCCATATGCATCCATTAAAGTCTTTGACTTTAATCCACACCATCTGCTCACAGTGTCATTTTGCCTGTCCAAATCCAGCAATCAGGGCTACAAGGCCTGAAATCAGGGCAAAAAAGCCAAATACTGAAAACACTGCAGACTCCTCCAAGACCTTTCATTAAAGCCACCTGAAAATGACTTTGGCTAAAGACAGCAGAAGAGCCCTCCTAAACAAAGAAAGTGGGGTGTTTATATTGCCTATGCAGAGCCCAGACTCTGGGCTGTAGACAGATGGTCCACCTTGCATAACATCTGCTCCCTTTTAAATTTCCAGTGGCTGGAGAGGCTCTACACTTGCTTGAAATCTATTCCCAATATCAATAATGGGTGTTTCTGCAGCCAGAGCATTCCCTCCCAAGGAATATGCTTTCCCCCATTCCATTTACATACATACCATTAATTTGCAGTGCTGCTTTCCCTGCATTTTGTCCTCAACTTCTTGCTTAAGGCAGTCTAATTCTGAGAGAGCCTGCATCAAACGAGTTTTGGTTTCTTCATACCTTGTTTCAGCAAAACCAAGTTCTCTGTACCACTTCTGAGCCTGACAGGAAGAACAAAAATTACTGAGTATGATTAGTCCAGCAGTGGTATCCTTTTTCAATATCAGCTTACAACCACGGATTTGAGGCTGCTCTCTACATCATAGCTTTTGAATTGTTATAAATTGATTAAATGAAGTTATACAATACACTACAATCTTATCATAAGACATTAGTGCAACTCTAGAAGCACATCCCATAGAATACCTCACTAGAGCTATGCCAAAATTATTACTGAAATTTATTTCTAAATGTGAAGGTACCATGAATATTCTGCATGAAGTTTAAAAAAGCAGTGGTGTATGCATACATGATTTCAGAGATTACATCTTTGAAAGCCTTCAGAGCAAAGTGAAAGCAAGTGTTTTTATTAGCTGGGCAGGGGGAAAAAGTTTTCTTGAGGAATGTGTCCTGATTTGAATTGGGACAGAGTTAATTTTCTCCTTAGTAGCTGGCACAATACAGTGTTTAATTCAGTATGAGAATCCAAACAAAAATGTCAAAAGTGCAGAATGCAAAGAAGGGGAAAAAAGGCACTCCATATGTCCAGCTTTTAATATTTTTCTAGGCTGCCTTTATTCCACTTACACACATTAACTGTAGTTTTGAAAACAAAAGCAAACCCAAACCAAAAACCATAAACAAGCCCCTCAATAGCTTAGCTGGCTGCCTGACAGCAAGCTCTTTCCTTCGTATGATATATCATTTTTTCTCCCTTCCAGAAGCAAAGTTATTTTAAGTAAACTGAGGAAAGTATTTTAACACACAACTTCCTTATAACACACACAAGGATTAGAAGGACCCAAGTTAATCAGATTTTACAAAAGAAATAAAAATAAAAACTATCTCTTTATATTCAAAATACAAGGTTAGAAGTCCTTGGCTAACCATCCAACAGTCACTTATATCCATCCCTTCATTCAGGTGCCTCACTTGAAAGCTGGGAAGTCTTATAAAGCAGCTGTCAAAGGACAATAATTTCATACAATCACCACAAAAATTCCACTGTTATTTTACTTTTACATACCCAATACACTTGTTGCTGCCAATGGTTTGTCCACAGGGCGTGTTGAGTGATGCTTATTAGAACCCCATCAATATATATTCTTGCCATAAAAACAATACATTCTGATTAGATGTGCATGGAGTGGAGATTGACTAATAAAAAATAGGGATGTGAGTATGTAGCGCATTCGGAAAGGCACAACACTGAAAGTTTTCTCAGACGGTGTCAAAGGTGCAGATTTACTTCACACAGACACAGAACTACCCATCCACACAAGTCTCCGGGTGGCGCTGGACTTGGTGCTTGCTACACAGCTGTGGAGAGAAGGGGCAGCACACCTGACAGTGCCTCTGGATGGAGCAAACCCCGACAGTGCCAGGCTGCACATGATCTGGCTCCTCATTTCAATTCAGGTTTGCAGTAACAGGAACCCTCAGCACTACCACTGCCTTCTCCTTCTCCTTATTCCCAGTGATGTGGAGGGAAGCAGCTGCCCAGAGATGGCCAGAGTAGGCAGAGTAGGTGTTGTGTGTGCCTTTATCAGCCTCTGCCACAGTGTGCCGCAGGAATGCAGCTGCACTTGATGTCCTGGCCAACCAAGAGTGACTGTGCCATTCATCACTCAAAGATCAGAGGAACATTTTGGTTCTGCACATCAGAGAGTTCCCTGTTTTGTAAGTGTTAGAGCCTGGCAGAAAGAAGACAGCCATGTAAGAAAACAAAAGGAAAAAGAAATTGCTCCTCAGAAGTACATCAGAGTAGAAGGTTACCTCTTTTTTTGATTTTTCTAATTCCTTTTGCTGTATTTTTAGTTCCTCTTCTGCCTTTCTGACTTGGTCTTTCATCATACTGTAGCTTTCAAACATGCTGTCCTGGATAGACAAAAAGATATGATGACTCTTCTCCCCATATCAAGTGGCACACAGCCGTTTATAGAACAATATATAGTTTCCCCCTAAACAACCACAAAAAATCTTACATAAAATCTAGATATTAAATATAAATATTTCCCTATTGACTATTCTCTAGTGAAGCACAATTCTGCATTTATAAGTATATAATAATCTCCACATAACTTCACTGTGGGGTAAGATACACAACTACAGAGGAAAAACATGGATGGGAAATCCACCATGAGTAAAGATACTGTCTTTAGAGATGTTTCATATGCATCAAAATAAGAAAAAAAAATTAGACCAAATCAGAATAAGAATTAGTAAATGAACATGTGCACACTTTTCACCAAGACATTTTTCACCATTATATCAACAAGTTTCCTTCTGTTAGGAGAACTGGTGGCAGAATAAAAGCTTCTTCTAAAAGCTTTTACTCTTGCAATAAATAATTTTTAAAAAGCCTGAACAATGCAGCCATTTAAGTATTATTTTTAACTTTGTAGCTTGCTGTATCACTTTAACATTCTCGAATTCAACATTCAAAAAAAAAAAAAAACCCTCTCTGGCATTTTGCCTTCAATTTCAAAGTTAACTTTAGCACCTTAGCTCATGTAAGAGGTTATAGTTTCCTCCACCACAAAGTTAATTCAGCTTTGCCCTCCAAATGACATTTATATCTCTCTTTCCTTAGAATATCCTTCTCAATAACGTTCCTTACTGTTATTGTTTACCTTTTCCCCAGGGGAATAATCTGAAGGATCTATTGCCAACTGTTCTTCAGTTTGTACTACACTACATGCTGTTTCAACTTTCTCTGGTTTAAGACCAGGTTGCTCACTTTTTTCTTTTAGTTTTACTATATTTTTCTTTGTTCCTATACTTTTCTCTTTTCTCAGCTCTTCATAGGTGAAATCCAAAGAAGACATTAATTCTTTATATTTTTTTTCTAAAATAAAGTTTGAATTTGCTTTCTGAAATTCATCAAGCTGTTCTGAAGTTTCTTGATTGATTCTGTCTATCTCTCTGTCCAGTACACATTTTTCCTCCTGTAAGTCAGAGAAGGTTTGATAACAGCTAGTTTTGCAGGCCTGGAGTTCTGAAACTAAGGTCCTGTATTTGTCTTGCCTACACTTTATCTCTGCCAAATGGCCCATCAGAGTTTCTTTTTCACCATCTGAAAGAGCAATTCTTTGTAAATTTCTCTTTCTCTCTTGTAATAATTCATTATATTGTGCTATACAGTCCTCCGTGCATTGTAATACTTCAGCCATTTCTTTGAAGCATCTGCTTCTTTCTTCTTTCAGGTCAGAAAGCATCTGGAAATACCTCATTTTCTTTCCATTCAGGGATAGAATGCTGAGAAATGTATTTGATGCAATTGTCAATGAGTCTTTTTCAGAATTCCTGTTTTTCTCTTCAACATAAGAGAGATTCGTAGAAAAATCTAGGGTCATGGTGCTTTCTTCTGTAAAGTTATTATTACATTCACCAGAAACTTCTTTCTCATTAAGTACGTTTTGGAATGAAACAATGTTAGCTTCATCTACTTCTAAAACATATTGAAACTGTTCCTGCTCTTCCAGGAAACACATCATCTAAGTATATCTGTCATTCTCCTGTTGTAATATACAGACTTTTTTGGATTAATTCTCATTCTCTTGCACTGGCAGAAATACGCTCTGAGAACATGCAGCCACTGCTTTTTCCAGAACCCATATTTTCACATTACATTCGTTTCCAGCATCCAGGAGTGACAGAATGAAACACTCATAAAAACTCATAAAAACTGTTCCCTGGCTGGAATAGTTTGCTCAAGCACACAGGCCTCTCCTGCAGAGCGTCGCGGTTTAACGGAGCCGGGTTTTCAGTTGGGGGTGGCGACTCCCTGTGGGGACCTGGCAGAGCCAATCAGCTGGCTTGTTTTGATGAGCCAATCAGCTGGCTTGTTTTGATGAGCCAATCAGCTGGCTTGTTTTGAAGAGCCAATCAGCTGTTTTGTTTTGAAGATTGACACCCAGTTAAACCACTTAAAAGAGTTGAACACGGCCCAGTGGGAAAGCACATTTAAAACTAACAAAGCCTGGGAAAAGCTCTCTCGTGGCATCCGGCCTTTGAACAGGTAACGGGCCAGGCCAGCACATGGCTCTGTTGAGGTTTCTGCTGCCCCCAGGCCTTGCCACTTTGACTATCCCAACACCACGAGCAACCACATGGCCAGAACCAGTGCTGGGAGTAGCCGCTGCTGGCCCAGTCTGGGACTGTGCAGCTGAAAATTGGTGCAACTGGAGCAGTGCAGCATGGTCACAGCTATGTTGGCATGACTTGCATTGGACTTCGTTTGCTTAGCCGCTTTTAGCCAGCTATGCTGCGGACAGAAAGACAAAAACAATGGCAGCAGGTTTTTGCTTTCTTTTCCTGGTGCCTGAAGGAAAAGCGTGACGTAGTGCTGGTAGCCAGAGCAGCTTGGGCAGTGCCAGCAGGGACCACATGGTCAGCAGCCAGAGACACAGCAATTCTTCAATTGCAGAGCCTGGACGAGACCACCTTTTCAGTGCTGCAGAACTCTATAAAAACTGTTATAAATGATCAAGCTTGAGAACAAATGGACCTACGAACACCAATTCTCTCCCACCTCAGGAAAAGGAAAGGGTAAAGACATGTAGAGATGACAACAAGGGACTCTGAAGTCAGTAAAGAAGGAGTCAAATTCTAGATAGGAGGAAATTGAGTCCTTAGTCTTGGGCTGAAATTCTTTAGTAAGGCTATGGTGAAGATATATTTGATATATCAAACTCCTTTTCCCTGTAACTCTTGGAATGCATTGGGGGGGATGTAGTATTCTAACCACAGCCATGAACAGAGGCACCAGTGCTGATGCGAGCAGATGTTGAAGTAGCTTGAACAGAGAAAGATGAGAGAGATGAGAAACCTTGCCCCAGTAATAGAAGAAGAAAACCCCTGTTTCCCAGAGATGGATGAAGAGAACTTTTGCTTTTATGCTAGAACAGCTCATCTTTAAAATAGAACCCCATAAATTGACATGGTCCATGAAAGCAGCTGTGGGAAAGCTGCAAGGCTTGGAGGGACTTTCACACTGTGAACAGATTTTCCTTACCCAGGCGGCTGATTTGCTGTGTCATTGAAACCATGAGAGAACTGTTTCTTGTAGAGAAATCTACATGGCATGGCAAGAGAAACTCCTCTTCTTAAGTGAACTGAAGAAAGACTATTCTAGAGGTGGTAAACTGACTGAAAGTTCCAAGTTTTGTCTCTTTACGTTGTCAGTGGGAAAGAAAAGAGGGTGTGGGGGGAGGAGAGAGGAGGAGAAGTGTTCTGAAGGTTTATTCTGATTCTCTTATTTTTTTTCTCTCTTTTAGTTCTGTTAATAAAGTTTTATGTGTACCCTTTAAAGTTTGAGCCTTTGCTCTCCTAATCCTTATTTCACAGCAGAAAATGAGTAAATAATTCCAGTGGGTGCACTGGCATTTGGCCAGCATTAAACCCACTACATAAATTGGTGCATTGGCTGGAAAACTCAGACTGGTGAACCAAAACCACTACACTTAATTGGTGTTTCTGCCTGATTTCCTAACCAAAAGCACTACACAGAGAAAACAGCAACTTTAGTGGATACTCCTCTTTATCTGATGAAAAAAATTCTGTGAGTATGCATGTTGCACATTTTTAGCAGCTATCTTTTGACATGAGAAATTCTCATTTGGTTCACATAATTTCAAGGTCTGGTCTTTCCTTTTTTCAGGCCTATATTGCTGGAGGCGCTTGTTTGGTGAGTTTGTTTCTGAGCCTGCTTTCCTTTCTCTTCTATTTCAATTATGTCCTCTCTGTCACATCCACTATTCACATCAGTGATGCAGTTTTCAGAAAGATTTTCTTTTTTTGCCATTTGTTCAGGACTCCCTGCAAAACACTTTTTAAAGTGTTTAAAATCAACAGATAAACTTTGGGCATCTTGAGTGCTATGGAGACTCTCTTTGGCTTCCACTCCTTGCTTCCCAGCACTGAATTCAGTTTTGTAGGAAACTTTAGAACGTCCCTCAAGATCACAGGTCACCTGTAGTTGTTGGGGGTTGTCGTTCTGTATTTCTTCTCTTTTAGCTCTCCCTGTAAAGATTTTTTTGGTAATACTTATCATCAACATCTTAATCCAGACATTTGTTTTCACTTACACTTTTTGGCCGAATTTGCTTATTTCCCCAATGTTTTTCCATGTTGCATTCTTCTAAAGATGTTGTGAAAATTTCAGCCACAGTGGAAGGCAACTTTCCCTGAAGAAGTTCAGTAGCTCTGTCATAAAATCTTCCTTTTGCCACAATGCAAAGGCCATCAGACCAAAGATCAGTATTTGTCTCACAGAAACTCAAACTGCTCGCTTTCTTCTCAGTGGTGAAAGCTGTTATATGGCATCTTCCAGGTTCAAACAAGATCAGTTGGAGCCTCTTTCTCATTAAGATTTCAATCACAGAAGCAGGGAATGTCTTCACTGGTAGAGTTATTGAGTGTTCCTTCAGGAGATAAAAGGTTTCTTCATCTTTGGTTTCCTTACTTGTCTCATCATTGGGTAACTTCTCAGGACGAGGGGGAAACAGCACTGCTGCATGATGATTTGGGGTACACCTGAGCAAAGTGAAACTATCCTCTAGAGTATTTGCCCCCTGTGGTCCAAGGGTGACCTGATGATAACAAATGAGAAATGTTTCAAATTGAAAAATATATGCTAAAGTACGTTACTAATCATAATTTGTTTTTTCCTTCATCCACAAAATACTTGATTACAGATTGATGTGGAAAAGTATTTCCATAAAAAGGGTTTTCAAATTATTTTAAGACTTGCAATGAGAGTAAAGTTACAAATTAGGTATGAGTAAGTCAATAATTTTCTTAGTGCACACCTGTATTCACCTTGTAAAGCATCGCTAGCAGCTATGATTTAAAGCTACTTTTATATTTACCTTTAAATGCACCAACACTTCATTTTCTCTGCAATCTCACATGCTCCCTGTGCACAAAGATAGCAAGAACAGCAGTAACTTTTCCTCTCACCTGCTCAGTCTCAGCTAGACCAGCAACTTTTGCAACAGCACTAGAACTGCATTCCAAAACTGGTACAAGTTCTTCTGGTAGTTCCTCCATCTGCTTTAGCCCATCACAACTACAGGCTGGTGTTTCTGTTATGGTAAAGCACTGGACAAATGTAATGTCACTCCCAAATAGTTACAGAAAAAACAAACCCAAAACCATCCAAGCAGATGTTTTGAATAGAAAAATATTTCAGTGATAGTACGCTCAAAATTACCTTCTCTACCAGCAGCATATATCACCACAGATACAGATTCAAGCATGATGTTAAACATGAAAATGAGTTTCATAAGAAACCCATAAATACTGAGGTCTAAAACAAGGTGGTTTTGGGGTTCACTATTTCCAGTTCCCAAAGCATTTAGAAATGGAAAATACATTTCATTACAGTGGGCAGGTGAAAACTTATGGATTAAACTTACAGGTTAAAATTACTCAGTGCAGGTCTCCATTTACATACACTAAAATTTGCTATAAAATTCCCATTAATTTATGTTGGAAGAATTTATGTGGTTCAATCTGCCAAGAAAAGAGCTTTCATGTTGTTTGGTCTGAAGAGCAGATCTGTCTGCTGCATGGCATTCCCAAATACTAGACTTCATCCAGGACATACAAAGTACCCCCTCACCTCTGTAGTTTCTTGGAAATTCTAGGATTTCTTGTGAAAGCTCGTATCTGAATAGTGGCAAACAGCCATCTTTTCACCTTCCCAAGATCCAGTTTACAGATTATGAGGATTTTCAAAGTGTTTACATCTTCTAAGTCATACACACCCCACGAATGAAATCATCTCCACATTATTGGCACAGATATGAAAGCAAAAACTCAAGATTTCTTTGCATACCAGACTCTTTATCATGTAGCAGCACAACTGGAGTTTGAGTAGCTCTGCTTCTGAATGAATCCACGACTGCTCTCCATTTCAGATTCTGAACTTCATCCTGAATTAGATCTCCATTCTTAATGGGAAAAGGGGAAGGAGAAGGAAAAAGCCCCACAAGTTATATACATATATATGGTGTTTGTGATATGAAAAACAGGCATACAAATTTCCTTTGCTATTTTACATTCAAAACACCCATTATTTCATTAGAACTGCTATTGTTTCGTACACTTTTCTTATTTCAATATTTTCCAGTAAATATTGCAATTGTAAACTTCCCTCTAGTTTTCCCTTCATACTTTACAAAGCATTAAGGAAGAAAATCTGAGTCATAAGCATGTAATATGTCAGATTACAGGTGGAACAGTGATTAAATTATATGGTCATCAACCAAGATAAAAGCAAGTCCAATCAAGTAGGGAATAAGATTAATAGTTCAGTGGCCAGCTACAAAGACAATTGTTTCTGGATTGGAAGACTCAAAGTGGAATAATCATTCTGAACAAAATTTTATTTTTTCATTGATAATTTAATTGCAAATTTCATATTCTGTTCTTGACATTTATCTTGAGTCCCTGATTGAATTTGAAAATTTTGACACTTCCTGATGCAAAGCAGATATCCTTACTGCTTGATAACAGCAGATCACATTTCACATGTGCTGTGCTCATTTTCAGTGAACAGAAGAATCAGATTTGATTGTCTCAACAAAACACATCATTGAGATGGTAACCAAAACAGCTACACCACAGAAACTGAGCCAACACAGGCACTTTTGTCTTCCTGCACTGCTCAGCATCAAACGCCAGCAGAAAATAAACCTGGTCCCTTTGCACTGAGTTGCAATTTTAAAATTACATATGGATGGGAAAGGCAACGACTTCCAAGTCTTCAGTTTCTAGTGAGTCAGAAAAGGCTGCTGATTTTCCACAGTATTACCAGTGAGAATAATTTTTATTTCAGCCTAAGTCAGCTGCCTCATTGTTGTGCTCTATTAAAAGATCTTGACTGGGAGGCACAACTTAAGTGAAAACCACAACACTTCCAAGATTTTTTCCCTTATTTTCTCAGTAATATCGACTAACACAATCGTTTGGGTTGAAAGGTACCTTAAAGGTCATCTAGTTTCAACCTCCTGCCATGAGCAGGGACACCTTCCACTAGACCAGGTTGCTCAGGCCCCATCCACACATTCGAAATAACACCCCCAGAGGTAGGGCATCCACAGCCTTTCTGGGCAACCTGTTTGAAACTAATGCCAATTCCTTGAAACACAATCATTCCCTTCCTGCACATTTTCATTTATTTCTTTACAGATATCAACTCTTGCTTGATATGTGGGTACTGTCAAAAGAAAGTTACACAAAATGATGTATAAGATGCAATGTTCAGGTGGCAGAACATCACACTGAGAAATCAAGACCTCAGCTGTCATGTGAAAGCTGCACAAAGATGCATCGCTTTGTTTTTTGGCACTTTTCCCTCATCTTCAACAGACCCCCTAATGCTCACATCTAGAAACTGATAAGTCAATACACTGCCACATGTAAAAAACTGGTTTTTTGGTGTATGATCATTTTTCATTTAGGCATATACTGCAACTGGAATATTGCAGACAGGATGCTGATACTGAGGTTGGAAATTCAAATTTTCTACAAGATTTATGTGACCACACTCCACCATGAGATGCAGTTCATCTCTTGGTGCTTAGTCTAATTGGATCTTGTATTGCATGCAATTTCTCATTTTTATCGCTGTTGATGGAGTATGATGAGCTCAAATAGGATTTTTCTTGTAACTATTTTGGCTTAAATACTACAAGATCGAGGTGATGAGACTGAGAAACTCTATTTTAATACATGCTGGTAAAACTCCAGATAAGGGGGGAAAACCCTCTTCAGTTTTACAGAAAAACACCAGATGTCTCCCTCCTCCTTTTATCATAGATACTGAATTTTTTTCCCCTGCTATCTCAAGTAATTTTCTACTAGAAAAATATAAGCGTACTTGTAGTACCAAAATAGGAGGAAGAGACAACCAGGAATGCAGAAGGCACAAGATTTGATGCTGCTGATGCTATACACAGCATTTAAACAACACTATCCACTCTGCAGCAAAGTAAACACAAATTATAGCCTGTTCATTTATACCAAAGACTGGGTTACTGAGACTCTAATCTCCTATGACACCAGAAATGTAAATTAATATTTAGAAAATAAATGGTTAGAAAACTTAATGTAGAGGAAAGAATAGGCTTTTATTAGAGTACAGCATAGAAAGAGTCCTGTTTCTTGAAGACTTCTTGGATTGGTCTCAGGCAATTAGTTATTTGTGTATCTTGCTTTCACATCTTTATATAACATATACAGATAGACTTCTTCCTTCTCCTTTTCTCAATTTTATTAAACCCATAGTAATTCTTCACTACTTCTTTTCTGGCTCTGAAAGCCCTCACTCCTCTTGATTTTGGCTGTGCAGTACCCTTATAGTGCATTTGTTTGTTTTACCTGTTTACAATTCAGTGCAAGTACCTCAAGAAGTATATCAAAATATTTTTAAACCATATTCTTTATTCCCAAGGAAAAGTGAATACACTAGTTAAAGTAACCATAGCAGTGGCTCAGGGTAAGCAGTTGGTCTTTCTGCCACCGTGGGGCAGCTACAGAGACGTGGGATGAGGTGAAGCTTCTGAGCTCTCCACAGAGATCATCCATGTGCTGCTGGTTCCTGCAGGATGATCTCGCCACTCTCTCACAGAGACAACCTCCTGGAGCTCACTGCTTTGGGACTGTAGAAGCACTAATGGGATAAAATCAGGCTTGCAAAAGCGCATTCAACTACTAGGTTAAAAAAAATTGTCTATATTTCCTCTAGCTTTCTGGCTTCTCCCAGTTCTGGAAGTACTCACAGTCTGACTGACCTGTACGAAAGAGTTTTGTTCATGCCCATTAGCTCTTGGTTAACTACAGTTAAAATCAGGAGAGTTCTTGGGATATCAGGTCACAATCTGAATGAGTGCAAGGCATAGCTGATCTCACTTTAAATAAAGCCTCAGAAGAAAAATACCCTGCACCTCAGGGCATGAAGAATAAAACTTTGTTTGAGTCCACTCTGTGAAAAGAATTGTTCTTTGTCAGCAAAATGAATTGGCAGAAGCTGAATGCCATATTCCAGCATGAGCAGAGCTTTCCCATGCAGTGCTGGAGTGAAGTGCTTGAAGTAAACAAGTCCTATTCAGTGTATTCAGGGCATATCACAATGCTACAGAGCCACAAACTATTGACTATCTCAGCTTGCTCCTGGTCATAAAGGCCACATCCATCTTCCCTCGTTTACCATTATCCAGAAAATCTCATAGGAAAGATTTATTGTCAAGAGTGCTTTTGCTCCAGCATTTGGGCGTGAATAACATGCACAAACTCATCCAACCATCTGTGTCCTCCTCCACTGAATGGTGTCCACAAGGCAGGTCTCAGAAGTTCTTCTGGGCTCTACTTTTAGTGCCAGCTGAGACCTTTTGCTGTGAGCACATCAAAGATTAAGGATAAAAGATCTGTTCAGTGTCCCCAATGTGCACCTAACAAAAGCTTTGATGCAATGAAGCTCCCACCACTGATTCTACTGGGTGTGAAAGACACACTGAGGAGAACTAATGAATAAACAAAAATAAGAATAAAAAATCAGGCAGAATAAAGCCTCACACTTGCATCTTGACTGATTACACCTCTAATGACAGGTGTGATCCAGGGTGATACAAAGATAAAAACTAATTACATTTTGCATTATTTTTACTTACCAGTTGACTTACCAGGTTAACACTGTTGTCCCCATGTGCCAATCTTGTACGTTCTGAGTATTTTCCTTTTTTCTTTTTCAACTTCACCATACTTTGGTCTTTTAAAGTTCTGTTTTCATCTAAAAGCTCTTCTACTTTTTCCTGTAGTTTGATTTCAGATAATTTTAAACTATAGACATGATGGTGAGATTCTTCCAATTTTGTTCTGAGAAAGTCTTCAGTGTTCTGAGAGCACTGCAATTCAGTCAGCAGGTCTGCCTGTTCTCTTCTAGTGTCCTCTTCTTTTTCCCTCAAGAGCTTCAGGTTTTGCTGAAATGCCTTGAGGTGGCTTTTCACATCATGTTCCACATTTTCAATACAAATCTTCCATTCCATTTCTTCCACTCCACAGTATTTACAGCCCTGAGTCCCACTGCACACTGACTGCAGCTTCTGCTGGAGGTGCTGCACCATTTCCTCTTCTAACTTGGATGTCAAAAGAGCAATATGGGCATTAAGATCTAAGACTTGCTTTTCCAGCCTAGATACCTCACCCTGAAGGTAACAGTCCCTTTTCCTCAGTACTTCTATCTGTTGTCTTTGCCTTTGTTTGTAGTGCTCAAAATATTCTGACTGGCTTTTTATTTCATCCTCTTTTGTCTTCAGCTGCTCCTGAAGCCAACGCAATTTTTCCTTGTGCTTCTTCTCTGACTTCTTTTGGTTTTCAACCTATTTTTTCAATGAGATGTACAATTACCATGTTAATATTAAAGCTCTTGTTTCCTTATACTTTTTCTTAATTTAGTGATAATTCTGCCCTTGTTTTCTGAAAACTCAGGAATGACATAAGCAGATTTTTTTTAAAGCCAGTAAATTACTGCACTTAGAGCGAAAATAACCTGTTTTGCAATTTCAGCCAACAACAAAACATCTCAGTAGGAAACAAAACAAACTCATCCACATTTGCTACTATATGACAGGAACTTTTTAAACACATTTTCACATGTTCTACAGTTCATTAAACCTTAGAACTGTAATTCATATATCCAGCTCTGATTTATAGAGTAACAGATCTTAACACTGACAGTACTGTGGCACTGGGGTGTTACAGGCAGAGAAGCTGTGGTTCTGTTACAGAAAACAGGACACACGCTTTCCAGATCCCAGCATTTTCCCTTTGCTCTTCACCCTACCTGTCATGTGTCAGCTCCTCTGATAAGACTCCTGAAAAAGTAGAAAGGAACCAATGCCTTTTGAAACAGTTTGAGAAATACTTTAGTATTTTCCTTTGCATTTACATTGTGTTTGAACATAGAGACTTAGAGGTGAAAGATGCCAGTGAAAGGCAGAAGAGGCTTTCATGAGTCCCATACTGCCCTTGTTTTGAGAAGAGTAAGAGCCACCAGTATCACAGGGACATTGCAGCAACTTTGAAGCAAGACTGAAGGCACAGAGACATGAAAGAATGACTTTGGTTTTTTCAAGGACTTCTTTAGATCAGACATTTTGATTGTCAGTACTTTCCTGTCTGAGGCATTCACTGGCAAGTACTGGTCAGAAGGAACGCTAGGCTGAAAAGTCAGATAGATATGAGCTAATATTTTGTTTTGTTAACTCTTGATGGGAATATATGTCTAAGCTTCCCGACTCTAGAAAAATACATTTTACTTTTAATTACAAAAGCAGAAAGTAGTCTTCATTCTTGTGAATCTTGCCACATGGTACTAGTGTCCTGTTAGGGTATTCAACTTTGTCCTAAAATGCTGAGAAAATGAAAGTATATCTTATGATAAACAGAATCAAAAGACATTTTTTCACTGAAGACTGTTCCTGAAAAACTTTGTTTCCTTCTCCATTTTCATGAATCCATCGAATGAGCAAACTAGGTAAAAATGCTGTTGTATGGGGCTAGAAAGATAAAGTCTGGCCTAAGAAGGAGTACACTGAGTGGGACCTAGGGAGAACGTAAGAAGGGGGAGCATGAATTTGATGAAGGGCCTGAATGAGAGAAGTAACAGCAGTGCTGTCAAAGCAACAAAGAAATAGACAGCTGGAAGAAAAAAACATCCAAAAATTCTTCTGATTTCTTAGGCTGTAGAACAAAACAAAGGCTGAGACCATTTATTGCTTAAAAACAGAGGTCACTAGAGATGAGCTTCACTTATAAACTGCTGCCACGAAGAGGAAATAAACTGGGTCATTTGCAACAATATCCCCTCACCAAGCTGATCAGGTCCTCCTGAATGTCTCGCAGTTTCCCTTTAATGCGCACATTGGCATTTTCAACCTGGTCCAGCTTCACATAGAGTTGATCAATCATCACAGGACGTGTTTTGTGTGACAGCTCCAGCTCTTTCATCCTGTGGTAGAGAGAATGAACATTTTTGCTAAGTAAGTACCACAGTACAGCTCCAGATGGATAAGCAGTCACAAGCAATGCATCCATTTATCTTTATTTTTGTATTTCTCTCCCAAAAATAAAACAGTAACGAATTTTTGATCACTAATACAACAAACACTTGATTCTTAACAAGTCTTCTGGGGTTTGCACATTTTGCTGGAGACTGTCAAAATTGTTAAAGATAACACCTTTCTACTGACTTAATAAGAATACCATAAGTAAACATATTTCCAAGATTTTTGTTCAATGGAGTTCGGCACGCTGTATGAAGTAACAACTTACCATAAAGACAACCACAACACTCCAGTCTCTGCATGTACCTGATCATAGGATTATGGTAGGTTCACAGTCAGTGAATTCAATTTTTATGACAGTAAATGCTTCCCATCAAAATTAACATTACAGACAACCTACAAGTACCTATGTTTTAGGGGCTGAAGTGAAAATATCTTACTTGTAACACGCCTTCAGTGCATGCCTACAGGGCATAATTGTATTGACTTTGTCCACAAAGATGGATTTTGACAAAATACAGGTTTTGCTTTGCCTGTTGCTAGGCAAATGGTAGTATAAAATTATGAAGTGTGATATGAAAATCTTTTTAAAAAACTAATTATTATTTTGAAAAAAGCCCATTATTCAAATATTCCTAACAAAATTCCTGGATGAATTCAAAGCATTTAAAAATTATACAAATAAGTGTTTTAATGCCATTTATGTTTCCTATCCTTTTTAACTGACATCCTTTAGAACAGTGCTGTTGCTGACTATCAAAACCTTATTAGTCTAGTCAAATGTATAATTAATGCCTAATGGCACCTTCATCTACTGTAATGATTAGCATTAACATACTAAATTAGATTAAGCTTTCTGAAACAAGGAACTTTTCTTATGACATGAAATTCCAAATTAACTTTCATTTTGAAAGGAATATACTTTGCAAACAGGATTTACATTATATGAATTTTTAAGAATGAAACATCCTGAGAAAGCTGCCTGGTTATTTGCAACAATATGTCAAACCATGCTGTAAATTTTACTTAAATAATAATTCTTTAAAAAATGATTATTGCATTTCTATTCTGACAGCTATACAAAACCCACTGCATATTCTCCAACACTCTAAAAACACAGAAAGTCTTTCTTTTTGCTGGTTCTGCATGTATCATCTGACAACCAGTACACAGGGCAAAGGGAGGAGTACATTTGTCACATAACAATAAAGTTTAATGCAAATCCCCCTTTCATTTACCTGTTTCTTAGGATGGAATCTGACTCCACGTAGTCCTCTAGAACACCTTTCAGTTTTTGCTCTGGCTTTTCCAGCTTTTTTATTCTGAGGTTCAAATTCTCTTCTCCAGCACTGTTTACTTTTTCATCAGGTGTGCCTGCATCTTCTAATTCCTGGAAAACCCAGGAAGTAGCAATTTTAACACTGAAATTCACGATAGCAAATCCTTCATTAATGGGCATTCTAATACAGTAGCTAAATTCTTGTTCTCTTCCAGATGAAGGATTCATGATGAAAAAAACCTAAATTAGGTTCTCAATGTACTACAGTCTAAGCATGCAATAACAGAGTCTAAGCCTCTGATGATCAAATGAACAGACCTTCTTGATTCTGAACACATTTATTATTTATGAGAAAGTCTCATTTCATTAGCCCCATTAGCATGTATGAAGGGAGTTGCCGTTCACAACATGAGATCCCCATAAAAGATTCAGCTAGACTAATTAATAAAGGAATTAGGCATCAAAGTTTTGAAAACAGAATAATTTTCTACTAAGCATGGGATTTCATAAAACTGTGTTTATTTTGGATAAATGTATTACATTATTATTGTTTCAAGACAGAAGACTAAAAAAAGGATATTTCCTATGCAAAAGGCATTCTATAACTATTTCAGAGAAAACATTCTGTTTATTTAATTGGTATTTTGGAATTCTGCATGCAGTACTTTACTTATATCTACTTCACCTCTGACAGGTCATGGAACCACAGCTGAAAGGAATTTTCAAATTTGGGCTTGAGAAGGCAAGCTGAGGTTGGTTCTTTTCTTTTGCATCTTTTACTCATAGATCTAAAAATTCCTCAGAAACTCACTTCAGTAAGTATAGTCCTGTAACTTTGTCCTGGTTTCTGCTGGGACAGAGATAATTTTCTCCTTAGAAGCTGGCACAGAGCTGTGTTTTGGATTTAGGATGAGAATAATGTTGATAACACTGATGTTTTGGCTGTTGCTCAGTAGTGCTCACCCCACATCAAGGACTCTTCAGCAGCTCATGCTCTGACAGTGAGGAGCTGCACAAAGCAAGAAGCACAGCGGGGACAGCAGATCCAAACTGTCCAAAGGGATATTCCACACCACAGAGCTTCATGCTCACTATATAAACTGAAGGGAATTACTCAGAAAGGGACTGATCACTGTTCAGGAACTGGCTGGCCATTGGTCAGCAGGTGGTGGGAAACTGTAGTGAGAAGCAAACTTGCTTGTCTTGAGTCCTGTTAAATCCTCTCTTTCTCCTTATAATTACAATTATTAGCATTAGCATATTATTATGGTAATATTTTGTCTCAATTATCAAACTATTTGTTTCCCAACACAAGAGATCTACCTTTTCTTTCTGATTCTCCTCACCACTTGGTGGAGGCAGGGCAGGGTGTGGAGGGATCAAGGGAGTGCCTGGTGCCTGGCTGTCAGCTGGGTTAAACCTCAACCAGCTGGCACCTGTGAAGTGTCTTTGATTTTGCTGCATTTGTGTTGATTTGGAATTGGATCTGTAACTGGAATTCAACTACAGAGTTTCAGACTTATTACCAAGGAAATAATGCAATTACTTTTTTTCTTTTTTAAATTTTTCTATTTTTTTTGGGGTAGGCAAATGCTGAATCTACAGTGCAAAGAAGATAAAAGTAACTTTTTTGATACCGAGGAGTAGAAAATGGCACAAAATTAGTGCAAAAGAATAAAAAACCAGTTCTCTTATCAGCTCATTTTGATATTTTGTTATTCAAAAACAAAAGTTCAGTTACATAAAGTGTTAAAATTTTGATAAATTGTATCAACTCACTGGACATATGTCAGCTAGACAAGGATCTAGAGCTGAAATAATTCAGTGACTCCTCAGTCCCTTATGAAGCCATGATACTTAAAAGCTTCAAGTGTGGATAGACATTAAAGAATAAATCCACGTGGACAACAAAGTTCACCTTCTTGTGATACCAAGCCCAGTCCCTTCTCAGACACCATGCATCCCTGAGACATGTTAACAGAATTATGGTGTCCCCTGGATGGTATAATTTCCCAAATGGAACAGGATCTTCAATTCAGAGTTCCTTGAGACATTAGTATTTTGTCTGTACTTGTTATTTGTAAACGGAACAGACACCCTGTTCTTGATAATGGTTATCCTTGAACAGCACTGCAAAAGGCATATACAATAATGGTGAGCATTGTTACTTTTCTCATTAATAATTTACAGTGGAAGCCAAATTAATGTCATTTGCAACTGTATTGTGGAACCAGGAACGCTGTTACAACTGACACAAGCAATGAGAAACTTAGAGTTTTGTTCTTCACTTATACAGCTGGGACAGATGATTTGAAATCTGTGTCAAAAAACGTAAAATCAGGCCCAAATTCTGTGATTCAGTCCATCTTGTATGTACTGAATCACAGAATAACAGAATTGCTAAGGCTGGAAAAGACCTCTAAAACCACCAAGACCAACCACTAACCCAGTACTGCCAAGTCCAGCATAAAACCACGTCCCCAAGTGCCACATCCACATCTTTGAACATTTCCAGGGATGGTGATTCTACCAGGTCCCTGGACAGCCTATTTTAAAGAAAGCCTGAACACCCTGTTGACACACTGTACCCATTCCCAGCTCTACAGTAAATACAATATACAACAGAGTAAGAGTGTAATGTTTTCCAAAAGTACAAATCCTGCTATTTCAGTGCAGAAAAAAACCCATCATAAATAAATACAATGGAAAATGTAAGCCCAATCAGCCAGTTATCTTGAGAAAACTGTCACATGTAAATTACAATGTAATAACAAAACACACACCAAAATCAGGAAATGAAACTGTTCATACCTTCTCTGCTTTATAAGAACACCCTCTCCTGTCCTTGCAGCACGTTTATCATCCAGCCACATGCTCTGACCATCCTCTGTGTGTGCTTGTAGTTCCATATTCAAAATAATGATGAACAAATCTGTGTCTATGAGAGGTGTTTCTTTGCCAAGTGAATCCTTGTTCCTTCACTGGCACCAGGTCTGATTAGCTCAAGCTCTGTTTACCTCCTGTTGTGGTCCTTTGCTTTTGAGTGATGCCAGAACTCTCTTTTGCAGTGAAGACCTTATTATTCCTTATTATTCTGTCATCACACTGCTAAAAGCCTTAACTAAAACATGAAAAATTTCTATTTGAAAACACATTCTCTAAAGGTTTGTTCCTTTTGAACAATATATTGTGAGCAACACATTCTTTTGGGGATCGAGATTCCAGACTTTGCATGATCCTTGTTTCCAAGGTAAATTGTGCTTTCTACCAGGGTTATTCCAACCCTGACATCAGCCACAGTTTGCTGCATGTGACTGAATTAATCTTGTGGAGTGTCTCAGCTCCTTCTGCATGTAAATGCTCTTGTCCAGCAATTCTTTATGCAGAATAGTTCTCTTCAAAGCCTGATAATTATCTGAGAAAACAGGCTGCTTCTGAGGCTGATTCCTGCACTCTCAACAGCTTTCTCTGTCCTTCCTTAGTTGTTCATTGCCTTATGTTATTTTTGTCAATCATAATTTCCACTTCATGTGATTTATTATTGTAACCAGCTAATTCATGTTGCAGTTCAGTGTGTCCATGGGGGTAGACTTGTTTTCCTTTCTACACAAATATGATTTTCAAGAAAATGTGAGGGAGGAAAAAGTTATCTTCTAATATTGTGCTCTTAATGTCTTCATCTTGCCTCAACATTTCAGAAATAATTAAAATGATCTATTTCTTCACATTGCCTTTCCATTTCTGAAGCATTCATTTGCTTCTCCCTCTTTGAAAGAGTAATATTTTTTCATTTTCTAACCATCCTCTTAAAAAGGTCTTTGCTACTTCCGTTTTTTTGAGCATGTGCTTCACCCCAAATTTTTCTTGCAGTTCAGGTGGTCATTGACTGTTTATTTACCTCTGCTGGTTGAGGTTGTGCCATTTTTGCTTCCTGGTAACGAATGATGATGGTTTTTTATTTCACCTGAGAGGATGCTAGGATTTCCAAATATTCATCTACTTCTCTGCTTGTCACATTTATCTACATGCCCATTTCTCCAAGTCCTTCTTCCTTCTTGAAGAGGTAACTGAGCACAGCACATCATGCATTCTCTTTTCCCAACCTCTCAGGCCACCATGGAATCTGTCATTTTCCCAGTGCTGTCTTTACAAGACATTGCCTTACTTTTCAAGAAACATTCAAAGAATCATATTTCACAGTTCTCACCCACTTTAAAGTTTTCATACTTCAATCTACCATCTTGTCTTTCTCCAAAACCTTTTCTTTCTGTACCTGTGGATTTCCAACTTAGGAATTTAATATTAATTTTACCACTTCAGGATGGTAAATCTTTATTTGTTTCCAACTTTGAACAGTTTGCTTCCTGTCAGCTATTTACTATAGACAACTTAATGTCAAACACTTAGCTTTTTTAATAGAGATATTAAAAAGGAGATCCTGTGTTTCTTGGGTGAAATGCAAACCACAGTTGTTGAAAGCATGCAGTATGGAGACAAAAATCTCAGTACTGTAAGAAAATCATTTGGTAGACATCAGTTCATATAGCAGCCAGTAATTGCACTTGTATTTTTTCTGCTGTTTGGTTGGTGTGAGAGTGTAAAGTTCTGTTTATATTTTTTCAGTGTTTATGATGTGCTGGTCATCGTTTGATTGTGAAATCATCCCAGCTTGAAGTCGTATCTTTTAAAAAATCTCTAATTTTAAGTTCAAATATTTTGCAGCTTCAGGTATTATGCAAACTGCTTTATGAAAATATGCACCAATTTAAAGCTGCTTAATAAATATTTTCTGTATTTTTGCATGTGGACTCAGCTTTTCACTCCATAGGTTCTTTTAACAGCCTGTAAACAAAACAAAAACCAAAACAGAAAACAAAAACAACAAAGAAAAAGTCTGCTGAGCTTTAGATAAAAGAAATTACTTTAAAAATACATGTTGGTATCAAACCCTAAATTCACAAACTGCACAATGCCTTTCTGAATGCTTTACATTACCTTCAGAATAACTAGAACCAGAATTATTATTAGTAAATCAGCTGGTTTGCCTTGAAATAGTTAACAGTGTTGAAACTATAAATAAATACCATAAAATTGGCTTTTCTGTGTTGGATTAATCAGAGACAGATTCACCTCTGGCAAGATGAATTAAAGGAAATTGCCCTTCACACCAGCACCACAATGTGATCTGCGCTCCTAGAATGTCAAAAGCTGAGTATTATGTGGCTGCACAGTCATTACCCCTGTGTTATCTCCTCAAAATGCTTGTCACCAAGCTTGAATTTAATTACTTAAGTACTTACTGTTAACAGGAAGAGTGGCATATTCTATCAGCACACTGCATTTTCTGGAGACTATTAACATTTGCAATTTTTTTTTTTCTCTTTTAATCCAAAAGGAACCCATAATACTATCAGGTAATATCAGCATGGAAACCTATAGATCACTTGAATGCATAGCAGGTCAAAATAATTTAAACATAATTTTTAAAATGCTGGTGATTTCACTGTTTATTGAATATTTATAAAGTATCTCTAGACTTGGCCAGTATATCTCTCAACATATTTAAAAACAAATATATTCATTCAGATATTAGCACCTCTAACTGGGACTGGTATAAAAAAACTGGATGAAATTCCAAAGACAATAGTTTGGTAACTATTTAACATTACTCTCTCAAACTTATCTTAACCAAAATAGCATCTGTCTTATCTGATCTCACCCAGAAATTCACTTCAAACTATGGAAAAGTGAATAGTTTACCACAAGGCTTCACCTTTCTTCAAACACTTCTCTATAAGCATATGCTCAATTTTTTACGAAATAAAGGAAATTCCAGAAGAAATCCTGAAATCACTGAAAAATATTGTTCAATTTCAACTACTTTTCAGTTTCTAACAATCAAAGGAACGCTCCTGCATTTTTAAGAAAGCAATACCTTAGAACTACATTCCACCCATCTGCATCTGTTACCATTTTATTGAAAAATAAAAAGCCTATGCAGCAATGCTTGTAATGAAAACCCAGAGCAAGTTCCAAAGAGTCTCAAAAGAAAGATGATAACTGAACGTACTGGACCTGAACAAATCCTAGAAAGAACCCATGATTATACAGGTCTGATTTCTCAGAAGTACTTGAGATCTGGGCAGAAGAAAATATTGTTTCATGCTAATAATAGGGGCTTGGGGTAACTATTGTCATCATTCTTTTTCATCATACAGTACTCATAGCAGTTGCAAAGATGTTGATTAAATTCCCACTGTAAGGAGATTGCTTAAAGGTAATTCACAACAGATTACAAAGAAGAAAAAGCTTGGAAATTTTGTAAAGGTAAAAGCATTGTATATTATCGGGTTAAAAACAAAACAAAACAAAAAACAGACCCCAAACCAGTAACAATACAAATACTATGTAATATTCAATAGCTTTAAAGCATGGTTTAATACTTAAACAGTTAGGCTGTTACCATCCTCCTGAAAGGCAGTGTGGAATTTGCATTGCTCCAGGGAAGATTTTCTAAATTGCACTTCCCTCTTGTTCTCTGTGAGAGGTAAGTACTGGATCCTGCTACAGCTGAAGAAATTCACTGCCTTCTGCACTGAGCTGAAAGGATCAGGACACTATGAAAGGACACTGAGAATGATGGCAATGTCTCAAGGGAGAGGAATAGAGGTTTTTTATCCTCACCTTTTCCATGTTGTGTCACTCACATTGCAACCTTCAAATCACCTCATAAAAAGGGAAAATTCGTTATTTCCTAAGTTATTTCATGGCCTCAAGGATCTGGAGGAAGTAAAATCAACTCCTTGTATCACAGGGCTTCTTAGAAAGCAAAACCTAAGCCAAATATTGTCTGCCATCTCTCCATCCAGCATGACAGAAGGCAGGAATCTGCAGCAATTAACTGTAATTAATTTCAGACAAAATGTACCTGCTCTGCAAGAATGGAAAGCACTTATTGCAGTTATGGCAGTCAGTATCTTTGAATATAAAATAATTTCTCATTGAAAATCCAATGACTTTCTGCAGAAATCTAGGAAGGAAAGTATCCAAGGAGGACTTTGTAGGTGACTCTTCCTCTCTGTGCAGATAAAACCAGTATGCCCTTCCTCATGGTTTTAGGGTCTTACAAACAATCCCTAAAGCATGGCAAAATCTAGGAGTCAAAAATAGAGTACAAAGAAATATAAAGAATACCAACCACACGTCTCGGCTCAGTTGTGTCATCAAGGCCACAGAATGAATGCTAGTGAAAAAAACAAAAAAAGGAACAAAAACTATAACATAAGATCAAAAGAAAATGAGGAAAAAAGAAAAGAAAGAAGATATAAGATATGTAATATGAAATCCAGCGACATTACAGCAGTTAGTCTAACATCATTAATTGAGTTGATCTGAAAGAAAGACACAGTATACAAATCTTACTCTAAAAAGCAGTAAAAAAATCAGTATTTGAGGGCAGTTTTACAATGGTAAAATCTGTGGATTTTTAAAAATTCATATATATTAGGTTTGGCTTTGTGATTCACTTAGAGCACTTATAATTACACATACCAAAGCTTTCCTGAACCAAGACTTAATAAGCCAAGGGCACAACCTAAATGCAACTGCAATAGCAGAGAATCAGTTATGAGAAGAGCACAGTATTTTCACAGCGCATTTCTTCCTAATATATCAACTCACAGATTAAAACTGAGATTTTATATCATTCTTCTGTATAGCCTCTAGAAACAGGAGAGTTTGCTGAAGAATCTATAGGGCAGAAATACTGGTATCCTTATATTCTGATTTGACAGAATTTTACACAAAACTGAAAAATTGAATCTACTCCTAAAGGAAAATTAAGTCATACTCATGACACAGTAAGTGGTACACTGCCCTTAGCTACCACCACCAGCAATGGGCTCAGCTATAAATGCTGCTGCTCCTTCAAAAGCATAAGACTTCTCTCCACAAGAAATTACTGTGCTCAGTATCAGTAGTAGGTAGGTGTCAGTCTGCACCCTTTAACACATTAAACCTTTAGAAGAACAATGAGGTAAAATTATATCATTCATTAATTCCCTGACAACACAATCTTCCTTTGGGCCATCAGAATGGGATTTAATCGCAGGGAAAAAATAATTCAAATGTAATAGGGATAGAAGGAAGCCCTCCACCCATCCAGAAGTTGAAGGTTAATAGAAAGAGATGAAGCTTTTTTGAGGTCTCTTGATAATGTAACATTAAAGCAAAGAGGATGTTAATCATTTTAACTCATTACCAGCTTTCTGCTAAGCTTGTGATTAAGCTCTTTCTTTTCCAGTACTTTTCTGTATCCATCCGGCTGATGATAATGCTATTTTCCATTTCCAAAATTATCAGTCTGACTAATCCTATACCTGCTCTGTAAACTGTAATGGCAACGCCTTAAAGACTTACATTTTGACAATAGCAACATCTAGACATGTTGATTTTTTAGAACAGATAGATAAACAGTAATATTTGAAATAATTAATACATACAAGCATTGTCTATTCCTCAACATTTCTCTGCTTAGAGGAGTTAAGTGTAGCACTGTAGACATCACTGGCTGCTAGGCAGGAAAAGCTTCAGGAATAGATGTGATCAGGGGCAGAAGAAGGCAGAGGGAGAAGAAGAGCCCTTTTAAGGGTGAATACTGCCTGTGTTTCTCTGTTAGTGCAAACATGGAGCACTGTCCTCCCAGTGGATGCAGACAGACCAGCCCCAACCACGTCATTGGAGGGTGACATAAAGCAATAATTAGCAACAGCATCAGCCCAGTTTCTGCAGGCTCTTCTCCTGGCTCTTCCCCAAACCCACATGGATATCACAGTCTGGAAAGGGCAGGACAAGGTACAGCAGAGGGGAGACAGCTACTGTAGGAGCAGAAGGAGCCAAGGAAGGAGGATGCTGAGGGAATTGGAAT